GTACTCAACCGTGTTGATTCAAAACGTACTGCTGAGGAGGCGATACGTCGGCAGTACGTTTTGAATCAACACGGTTGAGTACAAATTAACCAAGATAGATCGATAGCAAGTGTGTTAGGGATGTTAGTGTGGCAGTTTTAATTTTTCGTGCTAGGTTTGCGTGTTAAAGAATAGGAAGGAAGGAATATATATAATTCCTTATAATAAATTAATAATAATTATAATAATATTTATGAAGAATCGGATGAGTGGACACTGCTAAGAGACGACCATCTCGTCTGGTGTCTCCGATATCAGTGGTGGTCTGGCTTTCGTTGAGGCGGGGAAGGAGGATATTATCTTCACGCACGGAATCCTCTCGATCTGCTCGATGTGTGGATGATCATCCGAACGCTAGCCCTACTCTCACGACGAATAATAGTCCAGCGTGGGTCTTGGCACGCGTACTGACAGTTGGGCATAATAAAAAGTTATTGTTTGTTTGCCCATACCGACCGACCCGCCAAAACGGGTCGGCCGACTCAAAAAATTTTTATTGATCCTAATATCTCTAAGTGATCTAGTGATTCTCTTGATATAACTCTCTATTGTATATTTTAAAAAAAACAACCTAGCCTGACCTACCCAACTTTTTCAGCCTTGGTCACGTAAGGCAAACAAATAGTTTTTTTAATTGTGCATTGCGTACACATTCTAAGGCGGACACAAATCCACTGTGCAGTTTTTCGTTGGTTTACAACAGTGGTTGAGCCTAACGCGGGTTGTTTTATCGGCGGATTCTGCGGGTTACGGCGCAGACTGATGGGCATCAGGCTGCCGAACCAGCCTTTACTATACACGGTGAAATAGGCACGGGGAAGACAATCTTCAGGTACGCAGGGGCTAATCTAGCTGCTTAATAGGCGATGCACGATCGTGTCAGGCAGATTGATGCACGTTGAAAAGGCCTGGAAGAACCCGTGGTTGCGTAGCGGTGCGTGCATATTATGTAGTTTATTTATAAGTAACTGTAGCAGCAGATTCTCGCTGTGCGGACTGTACTACAGTTCATACGAGGCTCGTAATTTACACTGGTAGCAGTGTCTGGGCTTTATTTGATTAAATATTTTTTTTTTTTTAAATGATGGTATCTATAGATGATCCGCTACATCCGCTTCTTCAGCATGACTGTGCAGCGTGTGCCTGACGCAGCCAACAAGCTCGCGCGCGGATTAGGTAATGAGAGAGCGAGTGTCAGCGCGAGGACGTTAGAGGAGGTTCCGCGCTGTCTCCCACGATGCCAAGGCTCGCTAAACTCCATGTCAGAACTGAGCAGCGCCGTCGTCATGACAATTTCAAGTGAGTGTGCTCGCCCAGGTCGTCACTCTGTCAACCGCCGGCGGCCTGGGGGACAATGCTTTCTGTTTGGTGGGCACTGCTGAAACTGTTATTACATCGGATGTGGTTGTTATGGACGTCTGTTGATTCGGTGGGTTGCCAAAGAGATATTGTAAAGGGTGTGGTTTGGAGTATTTGTCATCAGCGATCGTTGTGGTAGGTTAGCAAAGGCTCATACCTGAAAGCATGCAGCACCGGCGCGGTTGGAGTCATGCTTATCTCGTTCGGTTTTGCGCGTGGGTCACCCGTTTTTAAATGCACGTGCGGATATTCTCGTACTTTATTGGCAAGGACGTGTTGCTATGCAAAAAACGTGTTGAGTGAGTTCACAGTGGTATTAAAGTTATGTCGTTCGATTCCAATGTCATATGCTGGAAAAATGTTGTTAAATGTAAAAAACATGTGCACATTTTGCTTGATTACATCGTGCGAGCAGCCTGCTTGATAAACCTATGCGACCAACCATAGCTGATATCCGACGGTAATTTCTTCTACTCTCGGGTCACTACGACTAACACATCTGACCATAGCCCAACTGCAGCACACAGAGAGCCTTGCACAGTTGTTGAAAACTCCAGTCTACATGCATAAGATGAGTGGATTTCTCTACGCAACAGCGTCAGTACATAAAACACGAGTTGCTTTGCAATACAGGGCTCTAGGTAATAGAGGGGGCATTTCGCAGTGGAGAATTAATCCCCCAGGCAATGCAATCTTACACCAAATACAATGTGCTGCCGACGAAAATGTCACAGTCTCTGTGTTTGCCCGCCAAAGTTTAGAGCATCCGAGCGTCGAGTCACATGTTTGATTGGGCGCCAAGAGCGCATTGCTGGATAAGACTTGCCAGTCGATGCATCAGTAGAACGAAAAGTGTTGGGAGGTAGTAAAAAGAGGAGAGGAAAAGAGAGAAGTGGTACCAATATTGCTAAAGTGGGTGCTTCATACAAGCGACTATCAGCCAGTAGATAGTGAGTCTGGCGGCAAACTAAAAGGGACAAGACACGTTCCATGTTGAATTTGTGAAGAACAAGTCTTTATTGCTGTACACAACTTGATTCGGAAACATTCTTAACGGATACACAGGAGAGAACTCCATATGTAAGACAGAGATGACCAATTCTATGGACGCATGCAGGCACCTAATATAAGCCAACATGAATCTGATTATGTTGCTATAAGACGGCTGAAAGAATGCATTTAGGTTACACGGGCTGATTATTCGGCATAGAATGTTCGTATCGAGGATGATTCGGCGGTTTCTTCGATTAATAGTAGATAAGCTTCGGACGACCTGACCGCAATTCCAACAATGGAATACGCTTTAGAAGCCCTTGAATTAATTTCATCGGATCGTCCTATAGTTCACATTAAGAATACGAGTTTATCCAGTTAGATTATAATAAGTTTAACAATACTTTACACTGGACAGAAATTTTAGTCATCTCTCTGATAGATCTTTCCTCAGTCAGATGTTTCACACAACTAGACACTCAGTTCAATAAACAGTCAGACCTGGAGGAAGCTCTATCGCAAGAGATGGACGAAAATTTCCGTCAGTGAAGTATTTAGTAATCCTTATTTATAGATCTACTGAGTAAACTTTACTTTTCTATGCTTAGCAATGCGCAATTCAATGACAAGATTACCTGGAATATTAGATGCTACTAAGATACGGCTTGAAACGAAAAATCTTGAGCATAAATGGGTTCAAAATTATCAGTGACTCGGGCAGGTCGCGCAGGGGCGCATTAATACATCCACTTGTGTGCAACGCCTTGTCACGCTTCTGTAAGCTGTATGCTATTGACTCCTGTCACCCGAGCTAGGAACGCGCCAGCAACAACAACAATACGCACGCGACTGAACTAGCAGTAAATCAGATCACTGTTACAGAGCATCGGCTCCACAGAGAATAAATTAGTCTGGCTAAAAACAAGGGGCCGGGTGAACGACTGGCTGAACAATCAGCGTTTTCGCCATGTGGCCGCCCATCTCGCTCCGTGCCTCCTTAATGAAGATCTCAGAACGTACTGGTAGATGGATGGGTGACAGAAGCAGGATACCAGATACCACTGCCAATCGCACCTGTAATGAAAGCAACAGACAGTAACACGTTTGCACAGATGTTCATCTGTCGAGAAAGCTCTGGCACTCTGTGATGCTACAAGCCACCTCAAGATTCCAGCCGCTTTAAATATTTATTCATTGTGCCAACAGGAAATAAAGTAAAAGGTAGACTCAAAATTTATACGTACAAGCGCAAGTAATAAAAATAGACATAGACGAAGAATGTAAACAATAAACGTATACTTGAAACCCATTTCTGTAACATTTTGCTTGGATTGATATAATTTATAACACTACACAGTGGGCTCTGCTACGATTCTATAGAAGATGCACAACTCTTCCCGTGACTGGTTATGGTTAACGAGTACTTCAAGTTTTTTAAATCTTGTATTGTCAACTTGTTTCTAAGAATCATATCAGATTGACGGAAGCCACCAAAATGCCTGGAGCATGAGGAACCATAATAACGATATAATAACGGATGAATACGCAACCCGATGAGTCGGCCATGACGGACACGCGCTTCCGTGAACGAGGACGCCGAAGGCGCCGGCGCGGTCGGTATGTCTAGCGGTTTCAACTCATGGGATCAGCGATTTCATCGTAGCCGGTGCCTTCGCTCACCATCTGGCTGTCCTTAAGTTGCTTCGCGACCTAGCTGGGGCAAACGCTGCCCTGACTTAACTGCTGCATATCATGTCGAAACCATGACTCCAAATACCTTATTCAAGTGGCAATTGACGTGAATATAACCGGACACAACTGAGCGGTGAAGAAGTGCCATAGGTCACCTTCAGCTAGCCAAGTCTTTGCGATTGCGAAGGAATAATTAAATTGAACACAGCTATATACGCGGAAACACATTTTCTGCGCCGGTAATACGGTCCATACGAATGACTTAACTCGGGACTTCGTGCGGCCTAGGGTCCTCGAGCTCTTCTCCTTTATTCAAGTTTTTATTGATTTAATCCTTGCTGGGTGCATAACTTGGTGTCGTTTGCAGGTTCTGGTCTTGATTGCTTTGTCGGTTCGTGACCATTCGACAACAAATGTTGCTGTGTGCACTGAGCGGAAAACAGAATTCTTCATACTAGTCAACAAATTTTGCCGTGTTGGCTTGGCTTAAAACGTGCAATGGCTTATATAACAATTGCCAACATGGCACTAGTCCTCGTACGTCACTACGCTGCCTTGACGAATCTGATTTTTATTTATCGTAAAGCGGCACGACGCGTTGTCACTCACGACTTGACATTCTAGACCGAATAACAAGATCATCATCATTCCCACGGTGATGGAAAATCTGAAGGGAAAATGAAAAGGGCTACATTGTTATCAGGCAGGGAATAAATAGAGATTATTCACTGTCACCCTGCACTTCGATGTCGACTCTATTTTTTCATCCTGATGTGTTATCAAGTAACTGGTGTCAATAGCCAACATATTTCCAGGTTTCCAACAATTTAGGACACAGGCGCTACAAACGGGCGTGACCGAACATTAGTAATATATATAATATATCAAATATATTGTAAATATCATATGTGCAAACAGAAATATGAGGGATTTGGCCTTTATCGGCGGTCTCCCGCTGCCTGCCGGCGCGAGACTCACGTCTTGGCGTGGATTCGCGACACAGTCGGATGCAGCTTGTGCTGGACGCAAGATCGCGACACGAGGCTTGCGAGCATGAAGAAGATGTAGTAGCGCTACAATGTATTCAGAATAGCTAAGAATGCAACAAATTACCCCATTTTTTCTAAACTTTCCCAGGGGCATGCGCCCTGGACCCCCTAGCTGGGTGAGCACCTTCGGTGCTTGCTTTGCTAGGACCTCGAAACGCGCAAACACACCAAAAAAGATTTACCACCTCACAGACCTTTTTGGCCAGGAGTAACACTGCTATATATGAGTGCACATAGATTAATTGTGATCATCATACTCTTGCTTTATATATATATATATATATATAAATACAACTGACTTGCACTGTTGTAGGCACACACAGTTAGACAGACACTTACAGCCCAGACGCCGAGCAGATTCACGAAGAAGTTCCCGCCAAATTTGGTAGCCATCATCTGCAAGCAAGATTATTTAAGTAAATTATCAAGTTGAAACAAAACAAGCCAGCTAATAATTCGTAATAATTAGGTCCTGTGGGTTTTTACCCACCTGCGGGTTTTTGGCCACCTGCTGTCCTTCTAATGTGAAGTACGTGTCTTTTCAATCGTTACACAAGTTCATCTGAGTGATCTATCGTCTCTCGTGAATCGGGGGCATTATACCGACGCAGAAACGTGATCGAAACGAGGCAAGACCCGACGCAACTCACCTGAGATATGATGTACAAGTTTGACACCAGGGCGCTCTGCAGGATGATGGGGATGTTAGAGGTGTAGAAAAGCTTGATCGGGTAAGAGCTGTTCTGTCCTCGGTATTTTGCTGACTTGATTGGCAGATCAACTCGGAATCCCTGTCACAGGTGAACAGACACTGGTCATTAATTTACAGCTGACATGACTAACCGAGAGGTACAATCAGTAAATCCCAGACTGTTGTATATAAATATCTCAAATTTTCACACACAAGTATTCACGTACGATCGCCATTGCCCATTTCACACGTCACTGCCTTTCTGATTCAAGCATCAAAGAGAGTAACTCCCTACAGCACACTTAACAGCGATTCTTCACTGCATGTGCGCTGCGCGTTGCATTAGCGTACCTGGAAATATATGACGATCGCGAACACGAACACGGTGGCCATCAGGTTCATCAGGTTGGGCAGGTTCTGTCGGTAGAAGGCTTCACGGAGTCCTCGCACCTTCAGGCATGAGAACAGGTTGAGATGTTTTTGGAGGAAATATTTCATCGAATTGTCATTTTCTATGAACCATTGTCACCAAGTTTCGGTACACATTAGAACAGGGTAAAACCCTTTACATTACATAGATACCCCGCGATATATATCTGGAGTTCCGTCACTTCTCTGTGAAATTTTACGTACTTTTCCTAACTTTTACAAATTCAAAATAAAAAATGGCATCCGTTTTGACAAGAAAAGTACACCTTATCCTCCAACAAATTTTTCGTAGTTTTTTGCATCGATCTCAAGAATGACCAAAATGAAAACCAAAACCCGGAAATCCGCGAATCCGTGGAAAATTCTCATGCCCGCACCTTGTCTGTCCTCGTCGCCAGCAGGTGAAAGAAGGCGATGATGGCACCCTCAAACTCAGTACCTGTGTAATGACGTAAATGTATGTATTTGAGGAGACAGACAGAATAGATTGAGAAGTAGCTCAGAGGTGACCATTTTTTTTACATGAGTCCAATATTTGCAAATAGTTTTAAGACGAGGGAGGCGATCATATCTACTTCTCTCTATTTATCTACCTCTACTACCTCACACTCTACACCTACCTCTATATAGAAAGGAATCGGATGAGTGGACACTGTAAGAGACGGCCATCTCGTCTGGTGTCTTCAATATCAGTGTGTGTCTGCTTTCGATTGCAGGGGAACGGAGGATATTGTCTCACCGCACGGAATCCCTCTCGATCTGCTCGATCGCGTGATGATCATCCGAACGCTGCCCTACTCTCACGACGAAATAGTCCAGGTGGGTCTTTGCACGCGTACTGACAGTTGGGCCATAATAAAAATATTGTTTGTTTGCCCTCACCCGACCGCCAAAACGGGGCCGACTCAAAAAATTTTATTGATCTAATATCTCTAAGTGATCTATGATCTCTTTTATATTAAAAAAAAAAAAACCTACCTACCTACCCAAACTTTTCAGCCTTGGTCACGTAAGGGCAAACAAAGATTTTTTTTAATTGTGGCATTGGTACATTCTAAGGGGACACAATCCACGTGGTTTTTCGTTGGTTGTACACAGTGTTGAGCCTAACGCGTTGTTTTCTCGGCGCAGATTCTGCGGATACGAGCGCAGACTGAGGGCATCCAGGCTGCCGAACAAGCCTTACTATACACGGGTGAAATAGGAGTGAAGACAACTCTCAGGTACCAGGGGCTAATCTAGCTGCTTAATATGGGTGAGATCGTGTCATCAGATCTGATGCACGTTACAAGGCCTGGGAAGAACCCTGGTATGCGTGCGTGCGTGCGTGCATATATGTATTTATTTATAATAACTGTAGCAGCAGCATTCTCCTGCTGGACTTACTACAGTTCATACGCGTCTAATTTAACACTGGTAGCAGGGGTCTGGGCTTCATTTGATTTTTTTTTCTTTTCTTTTTAATATGTATTATAATGATCGCTCATCCCGCTCTTCAGGCATGCTGTGCAGCTGCTGACGCCAGCCAACCAGCTCGCGCGGATTAGCGGGAGAGAGGAGGTCAGCCGCGAGGACGTAGAAGAGGTTCATGCGCTGTTCCACGATGCCAAGGCCTCCGCTAAACTCCTGTCAGCTGACAGCGCCAGCTTCATGAAGTAGTAGTGTTGCTCGCCACCAGGTGTCACCTCTTGTCCACCGCACGGTCGGCTGGGGGACAAATGCTTTCTGTTTGCGTGGGCACTGCCTGAAAACTGTTTACATCGGTGTGGTTGTTATGGACGTCTGTTGATTGCGTGGTTGCAAGAGATATTATAAAGGTGTTTAGAGATATTTGCTCATCACATCGTTAGTAGGTAGGTTAGCAAAAAGGCTCTACCTGAAAGGCATGCAGCACCGGCGCGTTGTGGTCGTCTTATCTCGTTCGGTTTGCGCGTCGCCCGTTTTTAAATGCACGTGCGATATTTCTCGTACGCTTTGTTGGCAAGACGTGTTGTGATGCAAAAACGTGTGATGATTCCACAGTGTATATAAAGTATGTGTTCCATTCCAATGTATATTGCTGAGAAACGTTTTGTTAAATTGTCAAAAAAAACATGTCCACATTTTGCTTATTAATCGTGCCAGCAGCCTGCATTGATAAACCTATGCGACCAACATAGCTGATATCCGAGGTAATTCTTCTACATCTCGGGTCACTACACTACACTCGACCTAGCCACTGCAGCACACAGGACCTTGCACAGTTGTTGAAAACCTCCAGGTCTACAGCAATAAGATGAGTGGATTTCTCTACCCAACAGCGTCATACAGAAACACGAATGCTTGCATACAGGGCTCTGGTAATAGGGGGCATTCCAGGAGAATTAATCCCCAGGCAATGAATCTTACACCAATCAATGTTGCACGAAAATGTCCACGTTTGTGTCAAGTTAAGCATCCGAGCTGAGTCACATTTTGCATTAGGCCACGCAGGCAAATGCTGGATAGACCTTGGCAGTCATGATCATAGAACGAAAAAGTGTTGGGAGGTAGTAAAAAGAGCAAGTGCTACACTATTGTAAAGGTGGTGCTTCATACCAAGGAACTATCACCAGTCAGATAGTGAGTCTGGGCAAACTAAAAGGACCCAAGCACGTTCATGTTAAATTTGTGAAAACAAGTGGTTTATTGTTACACAACTTGATTCAAACATCATTAACGATACACACAGGAAAACTCCATGTTTAGACAGGAGATGACCTAATTCTATGACGCATGCAGGCACTAATATTAAGCAACATGAATTTGATTCACATTTTGCTAAAACGCTGAAAGAATGCATTTATTTACACGGCTGATTATTCTCATGGAATGTTCGTATCAAATGGATTTCTTCGATTCATAGTAGATAAGCTTCGGGCGACCTGACGGCAATAACAATGGAACTATTGCTTCTGGAATGCTTAGAAGCCCTTGAATAATTTCATCGGATCTCTATAGTTCACATAAAAATACAGTTTATCTCAGTTAGATTTATAATCAGTTATAAATACTTAAACTAAATTTTCGTCCATCTCTTCGAGACTCCCTCAGGTCAGATGTTTCAGACAACATAGACACTCAGTTCAATAAACATCAGACCTGAGGAAGTGTAAGTATTTAGAACTTATTATGGATCTAACTGAGATAAACTTTATTTTTGTGCTTAGAAGCGCATTCAGTGACAATACACTGCAATATGTAGACTGCCTACTAAGATACGCTTGTAAACGAAAATCTTGAGCATAAAATTTCAACAACTTGTCAGTGAACTCGGCCAGGGCGCGCAAGGTGCAATTAATAAATCCCACTTGTGTGCAACGCCTTGTCAACGTTCTGTAGCTGTATGCTATTGATCTGTCAACCGACTAGGAAACGCAGCAGCAGCAACAACAACAAGTACGCACCGACTGCGTAGCAAGTAAATCATGATCACGTTACAGAGCCATCGGCTCCACAAGAGAATAAATTAGTCTGGTAAAAACAAGGGGCGGTGACGCTGGCTAGAACAGCAGCGTTCCCATGCCGCCCATCTCGCTCTGCTCCTTCATGAAGATCTCAAAGTACTGGTAGATGATGGTGACAGCAAGCAGGATACCAGTACCACTGCCAATCGCACCTGTAATGCAAAGCAACAGACGTTAACACGTTGCACAATGCCATCTGTGAGAAAGCTCGCTACCTCTCTGATGCTAAATGCACCTCCAAATCCACCGCTTTAAATAATTTATCATTTGCAACAGCAATAAATAAAAGTAGATAAAAATTTATACATACAAGCAAGGAATAGAAATACACATAGAAGAAAGTAAACAATAAACGTATACTGTGAACCCATTTCTGTAAATCGCTGTTGCATAAATTATACAGACTATACACAGTGGCTCTGTACGATTCTATAAAATTCACAACTCTTCCCTGCCTTGTTTATGTTAAAAGTACTTCAAGTTTTTATAAATCTTGTATTGCCACTTGTTTCTAAATCAATTAATTGACGGAAAGCACGAAAAATGCTGGCCAGGAACATAATAACGATATAATACGGATAATACGAACCCATGAAGTCGCCATGCGCGGCCAGCGCTCCGATGCAGAGACCTCCGACGCGGCCGCGGTCGTATGTAGCCGGTTTCACTCATGATCATCGACTTCTCTCTGTGCCCTCGCATCACCATCTGCTGATCCTTAAGTTGCTTCGCGACCTGCGGGAGCAAACGTACGTGACTTAACTGCTGCATATCATGTCGAAAATGATCACAATACCTTATTTCAAGTGCAATTGACTGAATAAACGGTCACAACTGAGCGGAGAAGTGCCATAGATCACCTCGTAGCCAAGTCTTTGGGATTGCGAGAAAATTAAATGACACAGCTAATACGCGGAGACACATTTCTGCGCCGTAATACGTCCATAACACTGACTAACTCGCGTGACATTCGAAAACAAATGTCTGCTGTGTGCACTGAGCGAAAACAGAATTTCTGTCATATTACAACAAATTTGCCGTGTGGGCTTGGCTTAAAACGTGCATGCTTATATGACATTTCCACATGCACTGTCTAGTCACTACGTGCTTTGAATCTGATTTTATATCCGTAAAGCGGAACGACGCTTGTCACTCGCACCTTGCACATCTGACAATAACAAAGTACTCATCTGTCAGGTGGAAATTTGAAGGGAAAATGAAAAGGGCTACAATGTTATCAGGAGTGAATAATAGAGATTATTCACTATCACTTCACGTATTCACTCTATTATTCACTCCTGATGTTATAATACTGTGGTGTCATAGCACATTTTTTCGGTTTCCGAAATTTAGGACAAGGCTATACAAAACGGGGTGAGAGAACATATGAATATATATAATATATAATATATATATATATATATGTGCAACAGAAATATGACATTGGCTTATCGGCTGTCTCCCCCGCGTGCGGCCGCGAGACTCACGTCCTTGCGCTGGATTCGGACACGTCGATCCACGTCTTGGAGAAGAACCGCCGCACGACGCCAGCATGAAGAAGATGTAGAGCGCCGCTGGATCGGATCCTCCAGCATGTGTCCAAACACGTCTCCGGCGGCGAGAAGTAGTCCAGAGGCCGCCATCGGGTACGAGCGCGCGGGGCCGCACGCCACCACGTCCGCAAGCAACGCTGAGAAGCAAGGGTTAGCGTGAGGATGAGGCAGAGATACAGAGATGGTTACGAGCGCATGACCGGTACGAGCGCATGATCGGTACAGCGCGCGGGCCCGCCACCCCCATCCCTACAAGCACCAAACAGCATAAGCTACAGTTGCCATGTCTATACAGTGTTTCCTCTGCATTGACACGAGCGAGGCGGGCCGCCTCGCTCAAATTCTCAGCCGCCACACAGAAATTTGTCCAAAACACCGCCTCGTTGACGAAAATCAATGTTCTTCCAGCAAGTCTCATACAATGTATTCAGAATAGCTAAGAATGCAACAAATTACCCGCATTTTTCTAACTTTCCCAGGGGCATGCGCCCCTGGACCCCTAGCTGGGTGAGCACCTTCGGTGCTTGCTTTGCTACGACCTCGAACGCGCAAACACACCAAAAAAGATTTTACCACACTCACAGACCTTTTTGGCCAGGAGTAACACTGCTATAATATGTTGCCACATAGATTAATTGTGATCATCATACTCTTGCTTTTTATATATAGTTATATATATATATATATATATATTGTAAGTAGATTAAACACAGAGACATCACTTTTTGCTGTCTCAGCAGTTCCCCCTGCGCGTCATGCAACACACTTTAATGAATAATAAACGCTTGTATACTTCCAATAATCCCTATAAACATGAATAGCGCATGTTTTAAGTTATCTATTGTTATGTAGTTTCTAGTCTTAGCTCGGCGTACGGTTGCCTGCGGAATCCCCGCTACGCGGCCATAGTTAGCCGAAAGTCAGTCAATAATATTTATATGGGGTTGTTCTGCCTGGTATATTGTTTGTCGCTTTTAACTATTTTTGTTTGTTTCTAATCTTATCTGCCGCTATTTTATCGAAATTTAGTCCTACTATCCTCAAATTTGCGTCACGTTAACGCTCCTGTCCCGTCCGCAAATTACACAACAATTGTGGCAATGACTGCGCAGCGAGAGCGGCGTAAAAGTATCGTGCGAGGAAAAGCGCGTTCATTTTACTGGTCACCCGCTGCAGTATTTCTCGACAGGTAACGTTATTGCCTGCCATTATAAGAAAATCTCACTCATATTTTCCGTAAATATCGTACATATCTCGTCAGAAAAATTATGTAATGAGCGAGCATACAATATCGCGTAGGAAAATGCGTTAGTCTAACCGTTACATGCGCAGTACTCCAGCCGTCGGCGCCTCGGATAGAATGCTGCGTATCGTAACCTCCCTTCAACGTGGATGACTCTCCCTGTCATGCTGTAAGTGCGGCAATGGTCGACACTCACTGTGCGTCGCCTGGTCCGAGTGATTTCTGGCCGTACGTCCATCGACCAGCATGCGAGAGTTAGCCGTCGTCATGTCGTTGTCCATGGTAGCGTTTGACCCACGTTACCGCAGCGGCAGTTGTGATGTTTCTCGTCCTGGGGTCGAGACTGAGTGATCTTGCCACACGTGCTTGCACGGCGAGATGCCGACGGTCACAGGCTCACCTGTGATAGCGTTGCGTGTGTTAATACTAGATGAGGATTCTTCTCAGTTCTCTGCCTGTCTCTTCCTGTTCATTTAGGTAATATTTGTTCTCGGGCCGGCACGTCTGGAAATTAGTCTCTGATCTTCTATAAGTCGCCGATTTGTCGGCTTTAGTAATATAATATTATTCTTCTGTAAACAGAGATGCATTTTTTGAGATGTTGTGTGTTGGCTTGCTGAGTGCATGATTGACGCAATTTGATTTCATAATTTTTCTTGCTCCTTTACAGTTTCGCAGATGTGCTTTTGAGGTCAGTGCTGTTAGGCTGTATTTCCTGTTTCGAACGATAGCTTGTTTTAGTATGCAGCGTTTTAAATGTTCCATCTGTAAGTCCTATGTAGTTCTTTCCTATGGTGTCTTC